CTCTCTCTCTCTCTCTCTCTCAAAAATAAATAAAAACATTAAATGAATTTTTTTTAAATAATTAAAAAGTTTGTTAGCTGTGTAGCTTCTCTGTACAGTTGGAGATGTCCTGCATGTCTAGGACAGTATCTCCTAAAGTGTGATTTTTGGAATAGGATACCAGTGACATCCTCCTAGTAAAATGATTTTAAGAAACACTATTCATGATACTTCACTCTTGAAGATTTCTACCACACAGTTTAATACTAAAGGTTCTGTGAAGACCTACAGCAACGAATTTCCATTTAGTTTTGTTAACGTCAAGGCTATCCAAACATACTGAACTGTAGTCTTTTTTTCCCCCCGAGTAATCTCTACCTTAATTATGAATTAGAGTGAAAATTTAAGTTAATTTGTTAAGTTCAGAGAGGCCGCAAACATTTTATTTATACAAAGATCCAAGATAATTAGTTTCAAAAATTATTAATGAAGGGAGACAATGAGCTTGCTGAACAATGTAGAGAAGGGTCTAAGCACAGGGACACATATGAAAAACTAAACTGTAAAACATCAGAGATAAACAGAGTCAAAGAGGAACCACAGCAGATAGGTCTCCTTTCTACAAGTGTAACTATAGGGATCTAGTATCGGGTATCATCAGGAAATTGATCCTGGGGGTGGGAGGGTCTCTGTAAACAGTGGAAAACTAAATATTCCTAGGTATAGTCATCAGACAAAGCAAAAGACAGCCCAGACCCAAATCCTCTCCAATTAGACAGCTCCGTCTCTATCCATTATCCCAAATGCAGCTCTTATAATTATGCATATTTCTACAATATAGAAGGCCACAATTCTCCCAGTGCATTTGCCACAACACAAATAAGTTGAAAATTACCTTACTAGGGCAGAGGCAAGATAAGAGAGGCTGTTTTAATTTTATACAGAATATTTCACTTGCCTATCATTTTCTACTTGTATGGACTCTGCCCAACCCACGGCATTCCTAGGAAAGTATCAGTCATGCCAGTGATGGGCAGCTTCAGAGATGAATGCCATATTCAAATGTGTAGATGGTTTCTTTAATACAAATGGCTTTTCTTTATTCATACTTAACTGTAATGAAGTTCAAAATTATTTTGAAAGCATTACATTTATCCAAGATGCAGTTACATCTCCAGGTTTCAATGCTGTCTCAGTAATTTTGTGCTCCACTGAAGATTTAAAAGAATGAAGCTTTCTAAGTAGGAATGATAGCAAATTAAGCAATATTTGGGAGTCACGTACTGCTACAGTGTCACAGTGACAGAAGGAAGGAACTTTCCTTAAAATACTAGTAACTGGGGTGCCTGGGTGGCTCAGTTGGTTAAGTGTCCAACTCTTGATTTGGGCTCAGGTCATGATCTCATGGATCGTGAGTTCGAGTTCTGGCATCGGGTTCTGCACTCAGAGTGTGGTACCTGCGTGGGATTCTCCTCTCTCTCCACCCCACCCCCACTCATGAGCTCTCACGCACTGTGCATGCTCTTTCTCTCAAATAAATTTAAAAAATACTAATTACTTATTACAAGTATTGGAAGCATAAGATAATTTTAACCAACAGGTATTTATTGAACAATTATTCTGTGCCTGGTTCTGTGGAGGGTATTGGGAATAAAAAGTATGAATAAGACGCAGCTTCTAACCTTTGGAGCTCACAGAAGGGCAGTCACTTCTGTGCTCCCACCCAACATATATTACACAGTTTTAATATAAGCTAGACTATCACATGTCTTGAGAAGACAGGATTTATAAAGGGCAGGACTATGGATCAAAACAGCAGTAACAAAAAAACAGGAAAAGATAACCTTCTTTAAAAAGAAAAATAGAGGAAGTATGCAAGCCAAGGCAGCAGAATGCTCTGCCTTCTTGGAATGTTCCAAGCTGAGGAATGTACCAACAATGGGCTCTTCATAGCTAGCTAGTCCACTGAGCTTTGTGACATACCTGATGACAAAAATTGTGTCTGAATAAATCACTCCTTCCTTATTTTCAACTCACAATTGTTGCAATGAAAAAAATTTTTTACTTATTGCATAATAAGTAATTCTATTTAAAAATAGAATAGAATAATGCATAAAAATCTATGAAACAAAGTAAAATTCATCTCAAAGTCCACCACAATTTTTTTTGGTGCTTTCATGTTTCCATTTCATAAAAATAAAACATATAATTCTAGGCAGATTTATATATATTCTGTTTAACAGGGACTCCTTTCTACAATATTTATTACTTCTCCTCTTACCCACATTTCACAGAAAACTAACAACCCAGGGGTGCCTGGGTGGCTCAGTCAGTTAAGCATTCAACTCTTGATTTCAGCGCAGGTCATGATCTCACGGTTCGTGAGATCTAACCCTGCATTGGGCTCTGCACCGTCAGTGTGGAGATTCTTTCCGTGTGCCTTCCCTGCTCACTCACTAACTAAATAACATTAAAAAAGGAAAACAACCCAGTATGTATTCTTCTAATCTTTAATACCTTTCTCCACCATGATTTTTTGCTCATATGCCCCATTTTCTTTTATTATATGAATTTTTTTGTCAAATTAGTTTCCATACAACACACAGTGCTCATCCCAAAAGATGCCCTCTTCAACGCCCATCACCTACCGCCCCATTTTCTTTTATGTGTATGTTACACACACACACACACACACACACACACAAGCTCTTCTCACTTTTCTCATGGAAATTTCTCCATGTTGAGCAAAATTTAATAAACACAGGAATCACTTGGGGATTCTGATAAAATGCAGATTCTGACTCAGTAGCTGTGGCATAGGCCCCAAAATTCTATATTTTTAAGTTTCCCAAGTGATGTCAAACTTGCTCTGTACACAATACTTTGAGTACCAAGATATAAAAATCTAGTCTATCCTTTAAAATAGCGTATTCATACTCCATTCCACAATTCATCTAACAGCTCTCCAACTATTAGAGGTTTTCACTTTGTTTTGAGGTTTTTGCTGACACAAAAATTAGAGCATGTTTCTTTCCTCATTTTTATAGGTCATCCATTTCCTACTTCTACATAGCCTAGGGCCCAATAAACCTACAAGGTACCATCAGCTTAATCTGTGTTTACTGCCTACCTACCAACCATTTGACAGAGCTGCTGTTTTCCAGGTCTCTTAAACAGTATGCTCTCCAAGCTTGGAGGTGTCCCAGCATTGCCACCATGCTTCTCGGTCAATTCAATCTCACCATTGGGAGAACTTAGGATGTCAAAGAAACCATACAGGAATGAATGTGTTCTAATTCTGTTGGACATGTCACTACCATCCACAGTTGCTAAACATCCCACATCTTGAAGAAATCAGAGTTAGTACTTATAGAAACAAATTATTTTAACATTTAATGGCTTGGGACATCACAAGCTCGCAAAGTCCTAGAATGAAAATTCCGTATTTCAAATTTACTTTTCTGATTAAATTCTTATTTGAAGTTATTTATTTCTAATCGTAGGATGTCAATTTTATTATTATTTCTTGCCTCAGTTTAATTTTCCCTTGCTGAATTTTTTGAATGTTTATCATAAAGAATTGTCTTGAAAACCTATCGTGTGGGGATACAAATACAGATTTGGCAATTATAGTTCTTTGTCATTTTTGCTACTTCAGTAGTGATTGCATATACCTGTAAATAGACAATAATGTATAGTCAAATGTTCTTGTTTAACAGGTTCAGAACATGTCCCAGTCTATTGAAGTCTTAAACTTGAGAACTCAGAGAGATTTCCAATATGTTCTAAAAATGGAAACCCAAATGAAAGGGCTGAAGGCCAAGTTTCGGCAGATTGAAGATGATCGGAAGACACTAATGACCAAGCATTTTCAAGTAGGTTTGACTTCTGCAATCTTGTCAATCCAAATCAGACACTGAGTGCAATGGACAGCCAGCATGGCAGTCAGCTAGAAATAACTGTGCATCTGCCCATATGTGCAAGGTTAAAGACTCACTGGGGACATCAATCATCTCTCCACTGAAACTGACCATTAGCTGGTAGGAATGCATAGAAGACTTGCTATAAAAAGAGCATAATCCTCCCAGAGTTTGGTGGAGTTTCTGGAGATTTACAGGCCATTCAATATCTAAGACAAGGGGAAATCTCAAGGAAAATAACTAAATTTATCAAAGTTTTTTTCTGATGACTTAATGCCCTGCTAATATGAGGAGACAGAATATAAATTATTAACAGAGGCAACAATACCATTATTAATATCATACAAAAATAAAGAGGGCTGTTTCCTAATTTTATACAAGGTCTTCTCTTAGACTTTAAAGTTATTTTTGGCAATTATCCGGAAACACTGAAAATAGAGGAATAGTGTTTTTAAGCATGCTATGTGGACTTTTCATACCTATGTGTGACAGTGCCATAGATTTTAAGAATCTGACTATGATACTACCATTTGAATCTCTATTAAAACAAATTATCTGCCTCCAAAGGGATAGCACATCATTTATAGGACATCCTGTGGTTTTATAAACATAATGGTTTGTTTTCCCTCCCTTCTGTCATGAGTAAGATTCACTGCTGATGGTGAGGGGGTGGGCCTGAGTTTAAGCATCAGAAGTGCTTTTCACACAGAATCTTGAGGGCAGGGAGCTAGGATGTAACAGGATCTCTGCACAGCACATTTTGATATGGCAGATGTTTTCATGGCTGTGTAATTGTCTTCATTGGTGCTCAGGAGACTGAGTAGGGATGTACAGGAAGCAGTTTCTTCACTGAATCAGTTTTAAAGTTATACTAGAGAGGGGTGCCTGGGTGGCTCCGTCAGTTAAGCGTCCAACTTGGGCTCAGGTCATGATCTCCTGGTTCCTGAGTTCGAGCCCTGGTTCAGGCTCTGTGCTGACAGCTCGGAGCCTGCAGCCTGCTTCGGATTCTGTGTCTCCCTCTCTCTCTACCCATCACCTGCTCACTCTGTCTCTCTCTCAAAAATAAATAATAAACATACATAAATACATAAAGTTTTACCAGAGAGGTACAACAGAAGGAACAGAGGAGTAAGAAAGTTGAGGGTACTGACAGGAGATGAGGCTCAAGTGATGAATCATGAAGTTTAAATTGAAAAACAAAGCTAGTAGGTTAAGAAATTAGAATTAGAGCAAGACTTAGAAGTTACAATAAATGTAAACACAATTGGAAATGAGAGAATGAGTGAACTGGATGAGTCCAGAATTTATGGGGGAATGGTAAACAGCAAAAAATAAAAAAATAAAACAAAAAATAAGGCTGAGGAGCAAATAAGTTAATGCTAACCAATATTTATTGAGCGTGCACTGTGTACAAGGCAGTGCTGGGCCCTCTGCTGGATATATAATATAAGGATCTCTCTTCTATAAAATACAACTAAAACAAGGCACATGAAATTGACAGCAAATAGAAGCATAAATATTATTTAGCAGCACAAAGAGTAATTTTATTTAATTTCATTTAGAGAACATCGGGGAAAAGTTATAAAATTTGGCAATTTTTAAGAAAGCAGTTTGGACCAGTCCCCCCCAACACACACACCAAACAAACAACCACCTGAATCACAGAGGATATGAAAAAAACAGATCAGAAGATTCTCAGTGTTCAGGGTTAGGGTGTAGACTGTGGAGGGGTAATATGAGCCCAATGCCAAGGCCATCAACAAAGCAGGAAATGGTAAGCTGGCACTGACAGCATAGGGGGAGCACTCCCAGAAAGGAAGAAGGACACAAGGAGAGGTGCTCAGGGTGTCGGGCGCGGAGTAAAAATGATTCAAGCTCAGATGGACAGTGCCGAACTCTGCGATGCCAAGGGACAGTTTTAGGATGCCAGGCCTGGCAGGGTTGGAAGCGGAATGAAACATGTGCATCTGTGGGAACTCTTGAAAGAACATCGAAACAGAAAGATACAAAGCTGAGACAAAGTCAAGGCAATAATTGGCCTTTTCTAGAAGTTTGCCTAGTAGCAGGCAGGCTGCCAGTAAGAAAACTTAATTTTCAGGCAGCACCATATGAAGTAATGATTTTGATTTTACATGTAATCCAAGTAGATACTTGAGTTATACGCAAAAATCCAAATAGCAATCTTATTATTTTTCTGAAGAATTATATTCAACAGTTTTGACAAACCTAAATACATAGTAACTAATTTAATCCTCTCAACAATACTATAAAGTAGGTTCTATATTTATCTCCATCATTCAGATGAAGAAACTGATGTAATTTTTTCAGCCTTGTATATCTAACATGCATCAGAACCACAAAGTCCAGCTCTAGAGGTAAACCTCCTAATGCCAGTGCTGTATTGCCTCTGAGTAGATTACAGATGAAATTTAATGATAATAATGACATGCTCAATGTGTTTGCTGAATTTATGTATTCCCTGAGCCTGACGGCTCAGTCAGATTTATATATCCAGTCAGATTTGGCACTATGTGCTGAGGTGCCATATTTGAGAAGAAGAACTAGAACATTCCAAAAGTCACTTTAACATCAAAGAATCCTTTTAGACTGAAGAAAATCTTCCTCTGGTAAACTATTTTCAACTTATCAAAAATACTGAGATTTTGTCTTCTATACTTCTTTGAGAGAGAGCATGAGTGGGGTAGAGATGTGGAAGGAGAATGCATGAGAGAGAGATAGAGAGAGAGAGAGAGAGAATGAATAAGAATGAGAATATCTTAAGCAGGCTCCCCAGTCAGCGCAGAGCCCAATGCGGGGCTCAATCCCACCACTCTGGAATCATAACCTGAGCTGAGCTTAAATCGAGTGTCTGACACTCAACTGACGAAGCCACCCAGCCACCCTCTTCTATACTGTTTAAGACGGAAATCTTGTTGTAGGTATCATACTTGAGACTATCATTCTTATATGAAGAGATCACAGTTGGGCAAAATAGTCTGGCTACAACCTTTGCTACTGTAAGAACAACACAGCAGAAGGTGAAATTCTCGAAGAAATTAATAAGTAAAGATCTATGCTATTCTCCTTTAACCTTTTAAGTATTTGACATGTATATTGGTCAAACTTTCCACTGTTCCCTGATTAGCATCCAGGATTTCAAAACTCATTACCAATAATACAATTATGAATTTTTGAAAAGATCCAAAAAAATACAATTACCTAATTTTATTTTGTTTGTTTGTTTTTTTGGTTCAGGGGGAAGAAAAAGTCACCAAAATTGTGACACTGAATTGCTCTCTTTTCAGTATTCCCACAGTGTAACATAAAACTCTTCATAGTAACTGTTGCTATAATATGCAGCAAAGGCTACCAACAGAACTCTTATTAAAATCATAATGAAGCAATTGTGTTTTTCTTTTGGGATGCCACAGAATGCTCAAACTAATAAGTTTATTTCAAAATGAGCCACCAAAATGAGTAAAGCTATGCAATTCCACCTTTTCATTGTGATATTTATGAAATCTTTCTCATTATTAAGACTTTGTCCCTCGCACTCAACATGGGCATATATACAAATTCAAAAAATTCTGAGCTTACAGAAAGAGTGGAAATTTCCCCACAAGAAACCTAAGCCCATAAATCAGGGCAGCAATGGGAGCTCCTGCTATTTTAATGCGTTTATAGTAATAGCATCTTCCAAATGTAATTTTAAAATGCAATTTTCAGCTCCTTAAATTAGTTAGTGTACAACATGGTTCCTGACAGCGCGTATGGATTATTCTCAAATGATCCTCACAGTGACAGCTCTTTCCACAAATGAGACCATCTGTAAAAAATCTCACAACTGAATCACACTCATGAAATATTTTCACTGACCACCACCACCAAATGAAAGGAAAAGAAGAAAAGGTGACACACCTAGACCTTGAAAGTAAAAACTGCAGGTGGGGCTCAGTTCCATGATGCTAGGAATGAGAGACACCATGTTGCCAAATATGCTTCTTGTTCTCCAGATGAAAATCAACTTTGCAGTTTCGAACAACTCTGTACGACTAGGTCCTGTGTTACATAAACTGTGAGCACTTTGGTCCCTGAAAGAGTTAAGAGAGTTAATTCACTCCCTGAGTAAGCAACTCTGCCTTCCTTAAAGAGCTCTAAATTATCTATGCTAAGGCAAATGGAGTCAGAGTGTGGGTAATAATTCAAAATGGTAAACAGCAACATGCATTTCTTTGAGATTTGAGAAGCTTTTCATGATTTATTATGCTTGCTGAACTTACCTTCCTAATGATACTGTGGTAAGATGGATATTAAGAAGCGTGAGGAATACCTGAGCACTCTGGAAGGAGATGGAAACATTCTAAGTGTTACAGAAAAGCTGTTGTTCTAGGATCCAAAATTTCTTCTAAGTACCCCCATAACAGAGATAGTTAGTCATTGGGTAATTAGAGTTGACATAGGATATTTGACCTGTTTCTAGTAATTCATAATCGAAGATGGATCCTGATTTTATTTGCTAAATAAATACTGCATTGTTCGTTTTATAAAATGCTCCTAGAAAGTGAAATAACACAGACTCTTAAATGCTACTGTAAGAAGTTTTTGTAATTATGATAAGGATCAATTTAATAGAAAAGCACCTAACCATTTAAAGAGAGGTTCTAGTACTGGGATAAATGGATTTACTACTAATGATCACAGTAGCCACTTACATTTTCACAGTACTTAATTTCAACCAAAAATCAGTACGATTTTGATCTACTCTGATATACAAATATTGAATCATTATGTTGTATACCTGAAACTAATGTAATGTTACATCCTGATTATACATCAGTAAAATTTTTCTTCTAATTTTCAAAAAAAGGAATTTTAAATCTGTTTTAATAATCCCCTTTAGGTATCATATTAAAAAGAACGTAGCTGCTTGATCTGTTTAAATGACTCTCAAAAACAGCTGCCTGCTTTTTGCAGGAGTTGAAAGAGAAGATGGATGAACTCCTGCCCTTGATCCCAGTCCTAGAACAGTACAAAACAGATGCCAAGTTAATCACCCAGTTTAAAGAGGAAATCCGGAATCTGTCTGCCGTCCTCACTGGGATTCAAGAGGAAATCGGTGCCTATGACTACGAGGAACTGCACCAGAGGGTGCTTAGCCTAGAGACCAGGCTTCGTGACTGCATGAAAAAGCTGAGTGAGTACAACAACATGTTGTGTTTTTAAGTGGTTTCAATGAAAACTGCATTCCTATGCTCTGCAAATAGTCATGAATACCTATTACAGGGAAACCGATGCCTGCTTTCTAAGTGTAAAGTAAGTATTCCTCAATGACTTAAGCATGCCTATGTAATCAGTATTATTTAAAGGTTGCCTAATTTTCAGAGCACCCTGTTACCATTTGGTGACTTGAAATAACACAATTCTATTGGCTATGTGATAATATGGGATGGTCAATCATTGCTTGGCTAGAGGGGAGGAGAGGCATTTTTGGTAGTGGAGAAAGTTAGAGGCTAGGAAAAAAGTTACCCTGGGACCAAATATGAAACAGCAGTGATTAAATCAAACAAAAGCAATTCCTCTATTATAGACAGTGGCCATCATTTGGCTGTTCTGATCCACACAAGAAATAAAAGGGAGACACTTACTCAAATACATATTCACTACTTTGCAAAGGGCCAAGCATGTAACATGAGATATGGACTCTAGCTCTTGACTCCTAATGGTTCAACCTGGTCTAAATTCACAAACTCTTCCATTTTATTCATGAGGTAGTAATTTGTCAGATGAAATCATCCTGGGACTAGTCTCTAACTTAATGCAAAATAAATATGTGGACACAAATTGAATAAAGAGGAATTATTAAGTTCATTTAGGAATATTATTTTAGTTGCCGACATGAAGTAACATGACAAAGAGGGCAAGTCAATGACCACAGGAAAGTATTCTCCAAAAGGAAAGAAAAACTTTTCTCAAATAGAAAATAAACTAAAAGGAGGAGTAAAGAATTTGGAAAAGATCATCAATTTCTATTAAAGACACCTCCAGAGAATAAATGTAAACATTTGAAATTTGAATGGCTGACAAATATTTTAAGAACTATTTTACAAATGCAATTCAAATGAAAAAAAGAATGAAGATATAAAAAGTTGCATTCAGTACAGTTAAAAATGTGGGGAATCACCACATTAGAGGCCCCACTACCATTATCCCAGGGTTTCCAAGAGATTCCAACAAAATTACTCAGAAGGCAATTAACGTAAGCCCTAAAGCTTAACACAGGAACCCTCAGATCTTTATTCCTCATCAGTCAAGGCTCACTTTTTCACCTTAACTAGTTTACTAACAATCATGACTCCAGTGGATTCCATGACTCCCATTCTTGCACCCCTTCACACATAGTTCACATTATTGCCAAAAGGATTTTTTGAAGCCTCAATCTGAAATTACCTTGCACTGCGGAAAATCTCCTAGACTCCCTTACATCCTGTGATACAGTCCACAGCTTATGCGGCCCTCCCTACTTCTCCCACCTTACGTCCTGTCACTCCTCCCCTCACACACTACATCCCAGTCATGTGTGTTCTCTACTTTCTCATTGCAGGGAGGTGTTGTGATGCTGTCCCTTCTCCTGAAAAAATTTTCCCCCTGCTTATCCTTTCTGTGTCAACACACTTGCCATATGAGACAAACTCCCATTCATTCTTCAGGTCTCAGTTTCTTTTTTTTTTTTTTTTTTTTTTTTCCAACGCTTATTTATTTTGGGACAGAGAGAGTAATAGAGCATGAACGGGCGAGGGCAGAGAGAGAGACACAGAATCGAATGGGGCTCCAGGCTCTGAGCTTATCAGCCTGACGCTGGGCTCGAACTCACGGACCGCGAGATCGTGACCTGGTTGAAGTCGGACGCTTAACCGACTGCGCCACCTAGGCGCCCCTTCAGGTCTCAGTTTCAATGTCATGTCTTGCCACACTCCCTCACTGCTCTCCGGATGTATACTATGTGCCCCAGCTAGGTGCTCCCAGACCCTGATAGGTCACCAATGATTGCGCTTTTCATGCTTCATTATCATTGCATGTGTAACTGGATGGCTATCTTCCTTGATTTTTGTTCCATGGGAACAAGAACAATGTCTATGATACTCGCTCTAAATCGCATATTCCGATGCCTAGAAAACTGCCTAACAAAGAAAAATTACTCAATGAGTATTTGCTGAATAAATTAATCCTACAAGGAGTCATATAGTAACAATTTATAAATTTCAAAGAATAGGTATTAGCTATTTCAAGTCTTATTTGAAAAAAAAAAAAAGCTTTCTTAGTCACATATTTCAATCAGGTGGTATAGGACTTACTAAGACTAAGCTAAGCAAAAGTTATTTGACGTATCACTTAAATATTTCCTTATATGTTTTTCTTTTATAATTGTTATGAAGTTTACTGCTAATATACACTAGGTAAATATTACTGACATAAGTGAATTCTGCTATATATTTTTTAATGTTTATTTATTTATTTTGGGAAGGGGGAAGGGAAGAAAGAGGGATAGAATCCCAAGCAGGCTCCACACTGTCAGCACAGAGCCTGAGGCGGGGCTCAAACTCATAAACCCCGAGATAATTACCCGAGCCAAAATCAAGTCAGACACTTAACCGACTGAGCCACCCAAGCGCCCCAAGTTGTATTTTATTTTTAAATCATGAAATACCTTTGGCTCACTGTACATGTTACATAGTTTGCCAGATGAAGTCTCCACCAAACTAGATAAGAAGAAAATCTCAAGGCAAGACTTGTTTGAGTGCCCTCAATATCTAAGTTACTTTGGGGGTTACAAAAAATATCCAGATGCATTTTTATTAGCTCAGAAAATATTTGATTAAAGATTTTCTGGGGGCACTGGGTGGCTCAGTTGGTTAAGCATCTGACTTAGGCTCAGGTCATGATCTCACAATTCATGGGTTGGAACCCCACACCAGGCTCTATGCTGACAGCTCACAGCCTGTTTCAGATTCTGTGTCTCCCTCTCTCTCTGCTCCTCCCCTGTTCATGCTGTGTCTCTGTCTTAAAAATAAACACTTAAAAAATTTTTTAATTAAAAAATATCTATTTTCTGTAAATAACAGTGCATAGGATTGGTCTGTGTAGGGCTTTACTTGCTTTGGAAGAGGACTGGTTGTTACAGATGAATCGCTCTAGAGCCTGAGAATCAATTCACTTGGTTGTTCCTAGCATCTCACAATAAACCAAAGCCATCAACTTTGTATACTGACACCAGTTATCTGCTAAGTATACATGCAGTCAACTAAAAGAAGGACAGGCAATAGAATAGTTCTAGCTAGTAAACACCTTGAACCTTAAAGGGTGCCAGTCAGGTTTTTGAGGGACTGGCATGGAATATTCTTGGAATGTATTCAATTTTAGAAATTAATTTCACTTCTAACATACATTCTGAGTTGACTCAGCTGGAAATAATGTCTACCACAGTTAGGAAATGAAATCTACACAACTCTCAGCTCTTTCATAATTCTGCTTGTTTTTTAGTCTACACATAACTCCTACACACAGCCTCCTTCAATATTGAAAATGATATTTGGGAAAAATGGTTTTGATTTAAGTGGACACAAATTCATCCTATTCCTCCTTACTGAACCATGGATAATGTTTCTATGGTGTCCTTAAACCTTAGGACTGCAATCCACAATATATAGATTTTTTTTAACAACAAAAGTTCTTTTTATTAGTTTTCCTTCATAAACAACAAAGTTGAAAGAATGTGACTGTCCAATTAACTGCATTAACTAGTTAATATTTTAACTAGTTAATATTTTTAACTAATCAAAAACAAAATCTAGCAACTAATACAAATATTAGACACCAGTAAACAGTATTCAACTTTCTTAATGAGATGGTTGCTGTTTGAATTCATTGATATGACCCTACAAGAGACTGGAAGTAATTTTCAGATGTTATAAACTCTTTCCTGGATTATTAGCAGCCCTCAGATCCCTACTTACCTAGTAGAGAGACCAGTGGCTCAAACAATGACTGTAAGTCATTTATGCTTTTTTTCCCCAAGAACTGGGTACTTTTCTATGTCACACCATTTTTACGTCCAATAGCAAACCTACCTACTGAGAGTATCCTAAGCAATGAGGATATTTATGATATTTATCAACTGGATCATAATCGTTAATTACAAAGTAAAAAACATGTTCAGGTAGAGACAGACAGCCCTAATGCTATGAGGTATGAAGTCACATGGTCCCTGAAAAATTAAGTAATCTTCATATTGTCCATTTAAAAATTATTCCAGTTTGAAAGGAAGTATCTCATACATATATTTCCAGAAGAAAAACAAACATGATTGTGAGTGGTGTCTTAAGATCTAGTTTGATTAATACTACTTAGTATTTATACTTGCTGGAAATTAATAAAGATTGGATCAAATAATCTTTTAACACCATGCCTACTATCAACTCATAACTAAATGCCCAATTATCAACATATCAGATCACATTGACTCAGAAAACAGGTATTAACATCAGGACCATTAACAGGACATGTAAAGAAAAAACAAACATCAGGGGTTCAGTGTTCCAAAAGCATCTAAAATCCAGTTGCTTTTGGATCTGCAGTGGGACATTGGATAATTATAGTATCCTCAATATAGTAAGAAGAGCAGGAAGGCTCATCCATCAGCGGCATCTTCATTCTTCACAAAAGCCTTTCAATACAAACAACCAATTAGCAGAGGGCAGAAATGGATTGAGGAAACAGAATAAAATTTCAACAATGATGAATGCATTTCCACTCACCTTTTCAATGAATTTGCTTTTAGGGAAAATGTCACACTGTAGATCACACAAATTTTAAGATACTAAAAGACAAACTAGCTTCATTGCCTGCAAGGTCTAAGTTACTCTTAAATAGTAAATAAGGTGCTGAAGGAATCACAAGTCATTGAGAGCACTAGGATACCATTCAGCTTATTACTACTAGAGAGTTAAAGTTTTGGAGAAAGTAGAAATTACGGGGGGAGGGGAGGGCTTCAACAGTAATGCACTCTAGGGGCCTGAATGAAGTAATGTTCTTTCTTAAGCGCTTAATTTTCTCCTATGAGAGACTGAGTAAAGTCCCCTGTGCTTAATCTTATAAGTACCCCATTCTTAGACATGCAAAGTATAATTATACGCATGT